GGGGAGGTAGAGAGAAAAATAGAAATAGAAAAAAAGAAAAGAAATTAAAACTACATATATATATATATATATATATATATATATATATATATATATATATGTATATATTTTTGATCTATGTTAAATATATAATTTAATTATACAATCTAATAATTATATGGATATATAATCTAATTAAACAAAAAAAAGTATATATATATATACATATATAATGATTTATACAACCTTTTTTTTTTTTTTTTAATTTATTGTAATAAAAAAAGAATTTAATACATTATATATATATATATATATATATATATATATATATATAATGTATTAAATTACATTATATATATATATATATATATATATATATATAATGTTTTAATTCGATTATTAAACAATCATAATTTTGTTTTTATTTTAATTGTTATCATTATATGATAACAGATATATGTTATTATAATAATGATTTATATAAAACATTATATTTTTCTCTCTATCTTTCTCGTTTGATATATAATGTAATATGAATTCTAACGATATATAATCTCGTAAAAATAAGATATTTTATATAGCCTAATTAATTATCGTTTAAGTAACTCTATAATGTAAATAAAATTTAATCTGTATGTCTAATTGTAATACATACTTTCTACTTACTCCAGAAATATAATAACACATATATGTTATATATTAATTAATTATGACATATAGATTATTTAGTATATCATATATAATATATATATATATATATATATAATATGTAATATATTATGATAAACAGCTTACTTTTTTAATTATCGTATAAAATATTTGATATTAAAAATTTAATTGTCATCGATTTTCTAATCGTTTAAATAATATTTTTTCAAGCACATATATACATAAATATATATATATATATATATATATATATATATATATATACATAATACATAAATAATATAATGTCCATTAATTCAAATATAACATAAGCATAATTTATTTACATAATTATTTATTCATGATGTAACCAGATCGTTCTAATGGAAGAACATCGGAGAGAAATACATGAAAAAGAAAAAAAAAAAAAAATGAAAAAAAAAGAAGAAAAAAAAAAGAAAAAAAAGAAGAAGAAATAAAAAAAAGAAAAAGATGCAAAGAGAGTTCAAACTTAAGACTCTCTTTACGAGGGTAGATATTAGCGAAGCTGTCACTCACGAAAAGAGGTAGGTTGGTATTAGAGACTTTTTCATTCTTCCTTTTTGTATTTTTGTACTATTTCTTTTTTCTCTTTTATTTATTTCTTTTTTTTTTTGCTTTGGTTTTTTTTTTTTTTTGTTTCAACGTACGCCCCCTCTCCAAAGCCAACGCGAATATCTGAGCATGTGTGAGTACGTGAATACTTTAAGCAGTCGCATACGTTCCAGCTTCAGTGGAATTTCGTTTAATTTTGCCAGCCACTGACGATAATAATGGACCATGAGAGAAAGAGAGAGAGAGAGAGAGAGAGAGAGAGAGAGAGAGATAGAGAGAGAGAGAGTTACCTTGAACATGATTAATTCGGTTTTAAACAGAGCATTAATTTCAACGTTTTCAGACTTAATGACTTGGAAAAGGCTTTTAATTACTAACATCGTTTACCTTGTGCATAATTAACGTATACGTCGATAATAGTCATTATTTTACGATAAGTGTATTATAATATATATATATATATGTATGTATGTATGTGTCTATATATAACATTTTAATGATATCATAATGGATATTCATTTTTTCTATCTGCTTCTTATATCATACATATTCTTATATTATATATATATATATATATATATATATATATATATATTCTCGTCGTTATATAATATATTATATTCATATTAATGAAGTTGTATAAAAAAATATATATATATATATTACATTAAATTAAATCGAGAAAATAGAATTAAAAGATATATAATTATTACAATTTAATTTCTATCACTTTTTCGACATAGAAATTTATGCATATATATATATATATACATATATATATATATACATATATATAGTAATATTATAAATACGCATAAATTCAAAATTAAAATTATATCAAACCTATTACAAGGAAGAAAGAAAAAAAGTACCAAATAATATAATGAAAAATATAACTAATTAAAATGTCATTACATGAAACATAATCATCAACATATATATATACACACACACACATATATACACATTTAGATATATATATATATATATATATATATATATACACTTGTAAAGTTGTAAAAAGTAGACACACGATGATATAAGAGATAAAATAAATAGAGAAAGAGAGATAGAGAAAGAGAAAGACAAAAAAGAGAGAGAGAGAGAGACAGAGAGAGAGAGAGAGAAAAAAGTAAATGAAAAAAGAAAGAAATAAAGAAACGTGGAAGGGAGTGAGGGTTGAGAAGGGTAAAAGGGGAAAGTGGTACCCTGTTCTCGTGGCCAAAGTAATACCGTCGAAGTTCCTAGATCGTTAATCTTGCAGTCGGTCGTTCGATGGATAGCCGATATGTTGCTTCGGTTGTACCTACACGAGTACATAGAAGCTTACTTATGTTGGTAGATGCGTACCTGCCGGGTGAGCCACACCCTTCCACGAGACGGTGGTTACGACCCTCTTTACGAGCTATGAGCTACGTTTCCCCACCAACCCCCTTCCAGTTCAAACATATTTTCTTTTCTTTCCTCATTTTATTCTTTTCTTCTCTATCCCTCTCTCTCTCTCTCTCTCTCTCGCTCTCTCACCCTCTCTCTCTCTCTCTCTCTCTCTTTGTTTCCTTTTTTTTTTCTTTTTTTTTTACTTTCCTTATTTTTTTTCTTTTTTTTTGTCTTTTTATTTTCGTCGATTCTCACCGATATATCGATACGATACAATAGATACTATAATAATATAATATCGTTTCGATTGAACGATTTTGGAAATCGTTTAAAATGTTACACAGAAAGATATTGATTTTTTAATAATAAAATTAATGACTGTAATTATTATATACGTGTAATATATTGGTTATGTTTCGTTACGAATGTTAACAATTATCTTTGTTCTTTATCAACAGTCGATAAGGTAGAACTAGATAATGAGATAATCTTAAATATGTAAAAAAAATTTTGAATTTTAATAATAAATAAAATAAAGAAAGAAAAAAAAAACAAAAATCTTCTAATATTAAAAACTAATTAATATTAGAACGTTCGTTTTTGAAAAACGTATAGATCCTCTTTTCATCCACAGTCGATAATATAGTACGTTAACAAGGTTATCTCAAATAAACAATATCTTCGGATTTTAAACATAAACATATGATTCATAACTTTCTCATCGCAACGAATCATACAATGAATCATATCTATTCATCTAAACTGGATAAAATAAAATACAGTAAATTATTTAATGAATACAATTTGATCTGTAATATATAATAATTTTGATAATAAACATAATTATTAATGATCCTAATTATTAATAATATCAAATAAAACAAAACATCCTAATAACATCGTAGTGATGTATTATCGTTCTTCTTAAAAAAAAAAAAATAAAAATAAAAAAAAGAAACAAAAAACGAATGCAAAATTTTACACATTTATCTCTAAAGAAAAAAAAAGATCGTATCCAAAGATTTCGTAAAATTTATGAGCCTTGAAATAAAAATAAAATAACCTACAAATGTATCGTCTTTTTTATCCATCGTAGATCTTAAAAGTTATACAAAAATTACATAATTAGATTTAATAAAAACCACTTTACCGACGATTCTAACATATCGACATATATATAACATATTCAATATATCGATAATCGTATAAATATTATTAAACAATTTATACGAATGAAAATTAAGAAATTAAAAGAAAAGAATGTAATTCAAAATGTCGACAAAATGATTATAAAATCATATCATATAATTAAACAAAACGAAATTACATAACCTATTAGATAATACCTAAAGTGTATTAAAATAAAAAGAAACTATTTTAATGAAAAATATTTATCAATATCTACGACGAGCCATTGAACTAGCTAGAAAATATATACGTATATTATCGTTGAATGACCTGTAAGAAATAAATTTGTAAAAACGAAAAAATAGAAATGTTTTCTCTCCGAAGATAAATGTATAATCACCAAACGTAAGTAGAGACCTTCTTAACCGGCCAAGGAGCTCGGAGAGACTGACGGCCGCCAAGTCGCCGTGGCGTCTATGAGCGAATCAACGAGTACGCTTACCACGCATGCGCGAGAAGTAGAGGGGATAACGTTGAGGTTACGACAATCTCAAAGAAACGTATAGAAAGAGTACAGTATTAACTGTCGTCGTGTCAATATCGTCATTTTATTTCGTATTATTTTCATTTCTCTCTACCTATCTTCTTAATCAAGTATATACATATATATAAGTATATATATATATATATATATGTACACACGTGTGTGTGTGTGTGTCTGTGTATATACATATATACATATATACATATATACATATATACATATATACATATATATATATATATATGTATCTGTAAAGCATGAATATCGTAAAAATCTCTTTAAAATTAATTACTCGATAAGATAATTAGTTAAAAGAAATAAGTTTGATTTTATTTTCATCAAATAAATTTCCCCTTTATTGATCCGATCGCCATCGAAAAGTGTGTGTGTTTTTGTTTTGCTTCTTTTTTTTTTCTTTTTCTTTTTATTTTTCTTTTCATTGTTTGCTCGAACGTATTATATATTAACGACCTTCGTTTATTTCTCTCTCTCTCTCTCTCTCTCTCTCTCTCTCTCTCTCTCTCTCTCTCTCTCTCTCACGCTCGCTCTCACTCACTCGTTCTCTTTCTATCTGTTTATCCATTTTTTTTCCGACTATCCATCTTTCTTTTCGTTATATAGTTTATACCGTATCAATCTCTTTTGAATATTGATAAATAAAGCTTACACGTATACACTGTGCCTCTGTCGATAAACGTTTACAAGTGACAAAATTGAAGAAGGTAAGAGTGGTGTTAAGGGGCTAGGGGGGATAGGGGGTAAGGGTAAAGGTAAAAGAGGGTGAAGAGAAAACATGTCTTCGTGTAGTGAACTGTCCCGTTCTCAAGAATATCAAAGCTTTCGAAGTTCTGTTCCTCTGAGAAAAATCGTCGTCGACATCGACGGTACAAAGGTATAATTTTCTTTTTCCTTTTTTTTTTTCTTTTTTTTTTTTTTTTTTATTATTTTCTTTCCTTCTCCCCTCCGCAACCTCGTTTAAACAATATATTAATAATGTTTTAATATATAAGTTAAATTTATTTATATCTGTAAAATCCGTTTAATGAATAACTTCGTTTAATTATTGTTATTTTTTTTATTTGTTTGTTTTTGTTATTTCGAAAAAAGAAAAAAAAGAAAAATCGTTTAATTTGTCTTATTAAACGATTTTGATTCTTTCTATTATTAAGAATTTGATTATTAATCGGTTATAATGCTCGATAAATTATTTGTTCGATTGGAATGCCGAGTATGATATAAAATTGTATTTTTCTTCCACTCTTATCATTATATATACATATATATATATATGTGTATGTATATATATATATATATGTATGTATATGTATGTGTGTGTATGTATGTACCGTTTTTTCTAGGGTTGGAAAATTTACGATTCCAGTCCTAAGACCGTCAAATGTCCACTCATTTGTCTCCCTCCTGTTAGTGGCACTGCCGATGTCTTTTATAAACAAATATTAGGCTTAGCTGCTAAAGGTTACAGAGTAATATCGGTGAGTTTAATTATACGAAATGATATTAAAAAAAAAAAGAAAAAGAAAAAAAAAAAGAAAAGAAAAGAAGAAACAGAAGAGAAAAAATTGTAAATAAAAATGATTCATTCCGTAAAATAAATTCAATTTTTATCATCCGAGTACTATCTTATCGACCGTCGATAATGAATTAAAAAAAAAAAATACGAATGCTATTAAAATGCATTGCCACGTAACGGAGTCATTAATACTCCTACGTTATTTTTCCTGCCAAGATGAAAATGCAATTTAGTCGTTCTTTTCTTTTCTTATTGTTACTATTATTATTATTATTATTATCATCATCATCGTTGTTTTTTTTTTTTTTATGTTTATATTATACAGGCCGAACCACCAGTATATTGGAACGTCAAAGAATGGTGCGATGGATTTCGAAAACTTTTGGATTATATGGGACTTGATAGAGTTCATCTATTTGGAGCCTCGTTAGGTCAGAATTAATGAACGTATGACATGATTACGTATAATTAATTAAATTTCGTTCTACCTTATCGACGCAGTAAAGAACGTATCGGTCGATAAAAAAAAAAAGGAAAAAAGAAACAAAAGAAAAAAGAAATTTTGTTTCTTATATTTATTCTCTTCCCTTAGGTGGATTCTTAGCGCAAAAATTTACCGAGGTAAATGCTTATTGCCCGAGAGTAGCATCTTTGATTTTATGTAATACATTTACAGATACATCTGTATTTAGTTACAATGATTCCGCTGCAGTGTAAGTAAGTTGAAACTCTAATTAGATACGAAGAAAATAAAATAAAAATTGATTTAATGCTTAATTGTTACACAATATATTCTAATCAACAAATTTCTATTTCTCTTTTTTTTTTTTTTTTTTTTTTTTATATATATATATATTTTTAATCCTCGTATCTTTTTAATTTATAGTTTTTGGATTTTGCCATCGTTGGTATTGAAAAAAATGGTTATGGGAAATTTTACGACCGAGAAGGTTGATGGAGAAATTATCGAAGCTATCGATTTTATGGTAGAAAGAGTAAGAAAAAAAATCTTTTAAAAAAAGAAAAAAAAAACAGTTTTTTTTTTTTTTTTTTTTTTTTTTTTAATTGTTTTTATTAAAAAAAAAAAACAAAAAAAAATTGTACTTTTATCTTCTAAACTTAATATATATTTATATATATATTTTTTTTTATTTTTTTTTATTTATTTTTTCTCTTTAGTTGGAAAGTTTAAATCAAGCGGAATTGGCGTCAAGATTAACCATGAACTGCATCAATTGTTACGTGCAACCAGAAAAAATTTGCAATCTGCCAATAACTATAATGGACGTTTTCGACGAGTACGCTTTATCGAATTCGGTGAGAGAAGAAATGTATAAATGTTATCCGAATGCTAAATTGGCACATTTAAAAAATGGCGGGAACTTTCCATATTTGAGCCGATCAGCCGAAGTCAACTTACATTTACAGGTAAATATATCAAAATCTTTTCACATACTTTTTCTATCTTTTTATTTATTTTTTTTTTTTTTTATTTTCATTTTATCGCCCTCGTCGTAGTCATAATTATTTCATCATTATTGTCGATTAACAAATTGCAAATGTTTTTTTTTTTATTATCGTTGTTGTTGTTGTTGTTGTTATTGTTGTTGTTGTTGTTGTCATTATTATTTTCGTTCCTTCATTTTCTCTTCTTTTTTCTTTTTTACAGATACATTTGAGACAATTCGAAGGAACGGAATACTCAGCTTCAGTCAGAACGAAAACTTAGCGGATTGTAAATAAAAAAAAAAGAAAAAGAAAAAGAAGAAAAAAAAACAAAAAAAAAAAGACTTAGCGATTAGTTTTATGTACATAGTCAATACACACGTATACATTACATTCTCTTTTATCAATACATATTCACATACGACAATATTAACATAAGCTTCCATTATCGATATTATCGAACATATGTGTTTGTAGATCAATGATCTAAGAGAGATCATATGCGAGATTGTATTCAAGAGAAATTCTTTTTCTTTCGAGATATATAAATTCATTTTGATAAGACTGCACGTAAAAACAACTTTCTTTCTTCTTCTTCTTCTTCTTCTTTTTTTTTTTTTCTTTTTGTTTACAAAATTCTTTTTTACTAATATTATATATCGTCTTAGCTCGTCGGATAAAAATTTATAGCTATAAAATCTCAAAAGAAGAAAAAGAAAAAAAAAGATCTATCTGATTAATCCTATCGGTGTAGAAAATTCGTATATATACATACATATATATATATATATATATATATATATATATATATACATGCAAGTATACTTAATTTAATTTGTATATAATAAATAGAATAATCAACATAGACAAATCTCAAGATAAGGATAAATCTCAAGTATCAAAATTAAATAACGTAAATATTGTATACATTTTTGTTATAAAAAAAAAAAAAAGAAAAAGAAAGAAAAAAGGAATAAAACGAAGAAAAAACAAAGGAACAAAAAAAATGTTCAATATTTAATTCGAATAAATTAAATTTTTTATATTAAGGACACTTCAATTTGTCTATAATAATTTCTAATATATATATATATATATATATATATTATTAGAATAATATATGTATATTATAATATTAAAAATATATATAAATATATATTTTTAATTTTTATTAACATATTGCAGATATAATATTATATTTATTAACAATTTTTCATTCTCCATTCAATAATTATTTTAAACAAATGAATTTAAAGATTTATCTCATGTAAAAAAAAAAATAAATAAATAAATAAATACAATTTCATAATAATATAGAAATAAAAATAATATGATATTTTGTAATATTATTAAAATGAAAGAGAAAGAAAGAGAAAGACAGACAGATAATAGACAGACTGAGAAAGAGAAAATGTCTGACCTGCAATATGTTAACGAAGTCAAATAAATGAGATGAGAAGTAAAGGAGACCATAGTAAAACCAAGTATCGATTGTACACTCCCTTATTAAGCATTGGTTTCATGTTCTCGATCTCAGATTACCATCTTTCTAGACCCCATATATATATATATATATAAACACATACATAATGATTATGAGTATACATGAGTATGTAACCACATAAATACATATATATATATTACATACTTATGCTAGTGGAATTTATACTATAAACGCTATCTCCAATGTTGATACATAAGAAAATAATTCTTAACATTTCTTCATCGTTATAAAAAAAAGAAAAAAGGATTATCACATACATCTTATGTTATCGAACTCTAATCTTTATTGTATTAAGTGTCTTTACGTAATATCATCATTTAAATGATTTTAATTAATTCATAACTCTTTCCAATCACCTTGATATCAAGATACCAGATTATTATATACTTTACATATATTTTTTATTTGAATTCATTTTTTTTTTTCTTTTTTTTTTTTTATCAATATTTACATTTTCAAAATCCTTTCAATATAGATTCTTATATATTTTCTAACATCTTGTGTATTTCTTATATGATTTTTTTCTTTCTTTCTTTTTTTCTTTCTTTCTTTTTTTTTTTCTTCTTCTTATTATCATTATTATTAATAACATTTTAACTTTTCCAAGAGATACTTTCATTTTTCTACATTTCATTATTACAATTCTTCTCCATTAATTGTTCGTAGATAATTATTAATTAATATTATTGAAATTCTTCCATTTGATATCTCTAACTTTACAAAGTCTTTTTCTATGTCTCCGACATATACATATATATATATATATATATATATATATATTAATTTATTTCCTTAATTAAATCCTTAATAATTTAATTTAATAATAATATTCCTTAATTATTCTCCATTTATATTAATATATAATTTCACTTAGTTCTTATCAACGTTATTAAAGTCAGTTTCTTTTATCTGATACATATGCATTCATTCATATATACATATATATATATATATATATATATATATATATATATATATATATATATATATATATACATACAATTTGAATTCTCTTGTAGATCATTATTTCAAGATAATCGAACGAATGAGAAATAAGATAGATTTTTCAATTGATTTATAAACTATTTTCAAACTTGTATTCATTTATTTTTCCACTCATACATTCTTACATGTTTCCTTATCATAATCGATTATAGGAGATTAGATTAGATACTACGTAATCGCATTTTTTTCTTTAGAAAATTTTTCTAGTATTTAAAAATGTACAGAAAAAAAAAAAAAAAAAAAAAAAAAAAAAAAAAATAAGAGAGAAACGAATAAAATTTCATTATCGCGTTATTTAGAAAATTATTAGAAAAAAATTGTAATATAAGATAATTGTAAAAATGACGTCAAATATTTAGTTATATAGGCGATAACGAAATTGAAATGAAATTCTTCGAATATGATATAAACAATAACAGATAAGTCTAAACGAAGATGACGAACTATAGGACGAAGTCAAATATTTGAAATGGTTTTCTCTCTTCTCCTTCGTCGTCACATTCCCCACCAAACTGGCCTCTTCCCTTCGTAGACATATTCTTTCTCTTTTCTTACAAAGCAAACGGTGAACGAAGAACTACCAGATCAGTTTAGTCGCTGTTCATCGTTTGCCAAGTTAACACGTTCTACGAGATTCTTTTCCTTTTCTTTGTTTTTCTCTCTCTCTCTCTCTCTCTCTCTCTTTCTTTCAATTTTCCACCCACAACGCAGTAATTATTATCTTATATTTATTATTATCGTGTAGAATAATTATACATTTGACACGTACTTAACATACGTTTGCGGGTGATAGATATTAAAAAAAAAGAAAGGAAAAAAAAAAAAAAAAAAAAAAAAAAAAGAAAAAAGATAGAAAATATCAAATTCGTATAATACTTTTATTTACTTGTTTATTTACTTTACTTCACTTTCTTCTTGTTCTTCTCTACTTTATTTTATATATAGAGAAGAAAAAAAAAAAACAAGAAAGACAGAAAATATGAAATTCCTATAATACTTTTATTTACTTATTTATTTACTTTACTTTATTTTCTTCTTGTTCTTCTCTTCTTTATTTTATTCATAGAAAAAAAAAAAAAGAAAAAGAAAAAAGAAAGAGAAAAAAAAAATTTCAAATGTCAAATCAAAATGTAATCTATATAAATTGACTTCAACCGATCTTATTCATAATAACAGTGGAACAAATAGGAAACGACGAAGTTTGTTATTTATTTTCGTTGTTTGCGTTTCGCATTACCAATTGGAATAAGAAATTGAGAAACAAAGAATATATTAATTCTTGAGGATGTAAAGTGTAAGTACATATATAATATATCGGTGACACGTGTACGTGAAATTTAATATTACGTTTCCGGTCGTTATGTCGCCGTATTTTATATATATATGTATATATATGTATATATATATATATATATATATATATAACTCCGTTCCAAGTTACACCGTAAACTTTCTTATCTCGAGAAAGAATTCGTTTCAATACGCGAAGTTCCATAAACGGGAAAAAGAAAAAAAAAGGAAAAAAAAAAAATAGCTTCGGGCTTGTCTTTCTAGTGAAAGGAAAATAAATTGTGTTTCAAAGGGGTTCGATTGGATTTTATTTTTTAAGAAAATAGAAAGAAAAAGAAAAAAGAAAAGAAAAGAAAAAGCAGTTAATAACAATAACTAATTAAAATATAATTAATTAGTAATTATTAATGTTTTCCTGGTTTTTTTTTTCTTTTTTATTTATTTTTTTTTTTTTTTTTTTTTTTCTTTTTTTTCTTTTCTTTTCTTTCAATTTTCTTTACAAACGCACAAGCAACGCAATTTGATTATTATTATTATTATTTTGAAAATTTTTCAATTGTATTAATAATTCAATTAATAATTCAATTTGTATTTAATAACGTTGATAAATTAATTTAAAAAAGATTGTAACAGGTGCATTGTATTATTATGATTAATAATTTTATCATAGATTATGTTAAATCTTATTCATTGTTTCATATAATGTTTCATATGATATTTTTCTTTCGTTTATAATCAGTTAAGTTTCATTTTAGTATGAATAAGAAGAAGGAAGATAATGCATAAGACGTATTGTTCTTTGGATTAATAAATTAATAGTATCGATAAAGTATTAATAAATAAGAAAGAAGTGAAGGAAGAAAGAAGTGGACGGAGAAGAAAAGAAAAGAAAAGAAAAGAAAAGAAAAGAAAAGAAAGAAAGAAAAATGGAGAAAAATTGTAAAATTGAGACAGGACTACTCAGCATGGATAATAATAAAGTATCCATGTCGACAAAATTGGCTTACGCCTTGGGACATATTTTCAACGATCTGACAGCAGCCATGTGGTTCTCATATACTTTAATTTATCTGCAAAAGGTTTCTCTTTTGGAGCCAATAATGGCTGGGACGTTATTGTTATTAGGTAAATAATATATTATATTATGAATAAAATCGAATCTAAATCTTGGAATGTTATTAAACATTGGAATGTTATACTTTTGAAGGTCAAATCGTGGATGCTTTCACAACGCCAATCTTTGGCTTTCTCGTCGATCGTTACTGCAAGAAAAAAATATGGCACGTGATCGGCTCAGTTTTGGTCACCCTAAGTTTCCCAATTATATTTGGAGGTTTCGCTAATACCTCCAATTCTATCATCATGTTCTTTTATATACTGAGCATCATAATCTTCCAGATTGGCTGGGCAGCCGTACAGATATCGCATTTATCTATGATACCATCTTTAACAAACTCGTTACTCGGTCGTACCGAATTAACAGCTATAAGGTAAAACAAAAAAAAAAAAACCAAAAAAAACAACAAAAAAAAATCCATCGAATGAAATAAATTATATTAATATTCACTTACTCATAAGTCGTTTTTATATTATAGATATTCAGCGCAGGTGAGCTCAGCGGTAGTTGTTTTCATGGTCACATGGATTGTCCTTCCAACAAATGGAGAATCGATGGTGTTACTCGATCAACACGACGACTACAAATTCAGAGTTAGTATTAAGAAAAGAAAAGAAAAGAAAAAGATTTAAAGGAAAAGAGAACAATTAAATAATTTTCATTTCCATAAATATATATATATATATAAAAAAAAAATCATATTTCCAAGACATTGGACCAATCCTTTCGCAGAATATTGTGATCGTTGTAACGGCATTCGGTTTGACTGCGACCACTCTCTTTCACATTCTCCTGAAGGAAAATCTTTTGGAAAATAGGAGTCAATCACAAGCCAAAACGAACCCCGACGAATCTAGTTGGCTTTTAGATGGTTTTTCAACCCCAAGAAGATCCTGGTTTGGTACATCAATTTTATTAAGAGTTGCAATGTTATATGTTGCTAGTAGATTATTTATAACCCTTGCTACTGTTTACTTACCACTTTATATCGAGGAGACAGCAGTTGGTGGTAAACAAGCATTGGCCACGGTACCATTGGTATCTTATTTATCATCCTTCATAGCTGCATTGTTGTTAAAATATATGAACAGATCTTGTGGAACAAAGGTATATACATATACACACATATATATATATATATAAATTCGTATCATAAAATTTTTCTTGAATTATATGAAAATTTTATAATTTAAATTATTCATATATATATATATATATATATATATATATATATATCGTTCATTTGATAATAATTATTATTTAATTAAATTATTTAGATATGTTACCTTTGCGGAGCCCTCATTGGTATTCTTTCGGCAGCCATTACAGAATTTGGCGGGAGTTATGGAATCGTTACATACGCAATTGCCATTCTTATTGGTGCAGGCAGTTCGATTACCATGGTAACGGCTTTAAGTGTTACAGCTGAAATTATTGGTCCTCGAACTGAAAAAAGTGCATTCGTTTATTCGATCGTAACGTTTCTTGATAAAATCGTTACGGGATTGGTCGTAGTACTTATCGAACGATGGTAAGTTCATAAACCCGGGAAAATTCAAATATGAATTTTCATCGAATATCGTTTTTCTCTCTTTTTTGTTTTTGTTTGTTTTTTTTTTTCCTTCTTTATTAATTCATTTTCTTTTTTCTTTATTTCGTCATTTTGTTTTCTTTATTTCGTCATTTTGTTTTCTTTCTTCCGTAGGAGATGTCATCAACAAGAATTATGTCCAAATTATAATCGAGATACTTTGGCGATCGTTTTGTGCATCGTCGATGCTACTTGGTCTTATTACTTTGTTATCAGTATCACGTTGTTTGACATAAATGTCCGATTATAATTATAATTATTATTATTATTATTATTATTATTATTATTATTATTATTATTATTATTATTATTATTATTATTATTATTATTTTATTCATTTTTCTTTTTTTCATTTTTTTTTTTTTTCTCGAAAAGATGTTTTGATAATACTCACTGTTATCTCGTATATGTATATATATATATATTTTTTTTTTTTTTAGTAATATATGTTTTATTGTTAACGTTTGTTTTTAGATCGTTTCGTTGATCGATCAGGATCTAAGAAGATTAGAACGAATTATTATTATTATTATTATTTTTATTTCCGTTTTTCTTTTTTCTTTTCTTTTTTTTTTCTTTATTCTTTTTATTTTTATTTTCATAAAGATTTTCAAACGATAAACCGTTTAAAGATTTAACCATTCAATGAAGTATTATTAAATATTGTTTTTACAAATGGAAATATTAGTAATTAATTCGTTTGGAAATAATCGAAGTACTACACGTCGAACGTAGTTGTTTTTTTATTTTTTTTTTTTTTTTTTTTTTTTTATTTTAGTAATATTAAATAATAATATGTTTGTAATTTCTGTACAAGCGCAAAATTATATTATTTATTTTCAAGTTAACGTCCGATAGATTTTAGAGATATTTTTAAGATTCCTTTTATATTTGGATTTTGTGAGGTTAATTAACTGTTCGTAATAAAACAAAACGAGAGAGACATAGAGAGAAAGAGAGAGAGAGAGAGAGAGAGAGAGAGAGAGAGAGAGCGAAAGAGAGAGAGAGAGAAAGAGAGAAACAAAGTTAACCTAAAAGTAATGAAAAATTTTTGATATAAAATATTATTTATTCTTTTACAAAGTCGAAAGTCCAACGAGAATAATCGAATGAATGTTTTGTGAGCATATAATCTCTTGGAACTTATTTAATGAATTATAATTTGTTATAAATAAACTTATTACTATCGTATACTATGAATCTTACCTTTGACCAAGTGATGTCATGTTGTCGATGTTTGCATGATCTGCAAGAAAATATATTTAGAAATAAAAAAATTGAACAATCAATTAGGCGCCACATACAATTTCTTCTTTCTGTTTTTTCTTTTTTTTTTTTTTTTTTTTTTTTTTTTTAATAATAAATAACATATCTTATGACGAACAAATTTTTCAAAATGTTCGTACGTTCTAACGAAAGAAGACGCTCGTCGATAATTGAATATTTCTAATCACAAAAAAGAAAGAACGAAGAAGAAGAAGGATATAAAAAATTATTTGAAAAAAATCCGTACCTAAAAATCCATATAGAGCAGGTCGAAGTAACAATAGAAAAATTAATTTTGCGATGAATTTAATTTAGATGCCGCCTTCAACTATTTTTTTTTTTTTTTTAATATAAACAAATAATAACAACAACAACATATCGTTTTATGGCGAATAATTTTTTTCGTACATCGAAATATTTGAAGTCTAATGTAAAAAAGACACTCATTGATAATTCACAATCGAATATTTCTAATCAACGAAAGTAAGGAAAAATGATTGAATAAACAAAAAAAAAAAGGAGAAAAAAATGAAAAAAAAACAATAAATAAAAAATCATTCAAAAAAAAATCCAGGCGTGCGCGCGCATCTAAACGACGCGGATAATAGTGTGAAAAAAAGAAAGAAGAAAAAGTAAAAAAAGGTGAAGAAGAAGAAGAAGAAGAAGAAGAAGAAGAAGAAGAAGAAGATAATGATAATGAAGAAGATGACGAAAAACAAAAAATAACAACGAGTGAGAAAGATGAAATAAAGAAAGAAAGCGAAAGAAAAAAAAAGAGAGAGAGAGAGAGAGAAACAAAATGAATTATATTTGAATGTGCATTCGCAAGATGGCGACGGATAGTGCAAAACTAAGAGCGTACCGAAATGACGGAATAAATAGTAAACATTGGCGCTGCAATCGGAACGGCATGGGTAAAGACGAACGACGGGCGGAAGATGCGCGTAGAGTCATTGCGCAGGCTCTTGTTTTGCTCGACAGTATAACGGCAAGGGACGTGGAGGAGAGTTCGTTATTGGTTGGAGTTAAGTGAAGTGGGGTGAGAGGAGTGGAGAGGGGATAGCGAGGCACGCTCTCACGGGGCATGGCGTGGTGTGCGTTCTAGTAAACAACTTGTGCGCGACTCGCGCGGATAGAATTCGTTTGGTCTCGACAAATTTTTCCTCCTTTTTTTTCTCTTTCTTATTTATATATATATATATACATGTATATATATATATGTATGTCTCTATGTGTGTGTTATGTGTATATGGATAAGTACATGTATGGATACAAACAAATACAGTAATAAAAGAAGACAGACAGACACGCGTACACAGAGAAAGAAAGAAAGAGAAAGAGAGAGAGTGAAAGAGACATAAACAGATTAATAAAAATATATAAAAGTGTTGTGTGTTGGTGTATATAAATTGTACTATTAATGAGCATGGAATGCCGAGTAAATATTCTACGTATCTTATGTGTGTGTGTATGTGTATGTGTATTTTCGTGAATTTTGTGTGTATACATGTGTTACTTTATTAAACAAAGAAGAAAATAAATAAATAAATAAATAAATAAATATATATATATACATACATATATACGTACACATACATACGTACATTCATACATATGTAACTATACGACGACGATATTCGAATGGAATAACTTTCGGTGAGTTCGTGCGTGCATTACTCTCGATAAAGTGTATGTGTTAGTAGTGTATTTAGTGTCGTGTATACATATATATATATATGTATATATATATACACACACACACATACATCTCTCTTTCTCTGTCGGAGCTACTCTCCTACGCTATTTCCGCCTATTTTTTTTTTCCTTCTATCTATCCCTCTCTTACTCACGCTCACGCTGCGTATTCTCTATCTATCTATCTATCTCTAGACGATACAAAACGTTCTAACCAACGACCTCGTTTTTCGGTGTGTTCTCTCTTTCTCTCTCTCTCTCTCTCTCTCTCTTTTCCTTTCTCTTTCTCTCTCTCCCTCTCTCTCTCTTTCTCTTTCTCTCTCTATTCCTATCTCTATCCTCCGTACATTTATATATTGTGTGGCGTGTGCCCGCGTATATGTATGTTGTTATTGGTGAGAGATAGAAAGAGTTAGATAGAGAAAGAGGAAGAGAGAGAGAAAAAGAGAGAGAGAGAGAGAAAATAAGTAAAAAAGAAAGAAAGAGAAATAAAAGAAAGAAGGAAGGAAGGAAGGAAGGAAGAAAAAAAGACAGACAGACAGACAGACAGAGAGATAGACAAATATATAGAGATAGAGAGAGATAGAAATAGAAAGTGAGAGAGAGAGAGAAAGAGAAAGAAAATTTGTGTATGTACAAGAAGAATATCACCGAAGTGGACATCGTGGATGAAAATAGAGCATCTTCAAGGGATTTTCAATCGTGGGTGATGGTACGCCGCACCATTTTATCGTCGTCAACAACGTTGTCGTCGTCGTCAACATCATCAACATCGTCAACGTCGT